AAGAAATAACTAAGATCAGAGCAGAACTGAAGGAGATAGAGACACGAAAAACCCTTCAAAAAATCAATAAATCGAAGAGCTGGTTTTTTGAAAAGATCAACAAAATAGACAGACCACTAGCCAGATTGATAAAAAAGAAAAGAGAGAATAACCAAATAGACGCAATAAAAAACAATAAAGGGGAAATCACCACAGATTCCACAGAAATTCAAACCATCATCAGAGAATATTACAAACAACTCTATGCACATAAACTAGTAAACCTGGAAGAAATGGATAAATTCCTGGACACTTGTGTCCTCCCAAGCCTAAACCAGGAGGAAGTTGAAATTATGAATAGACCAATAACAAGGTCTGAAGTTGAGGCAGCAATTAAGAGCCTACCACACAAAAAAAGCCCAGATCCAGATGGGTTCACAGCCAAAGTCTATCAGACACACAAAGAGGAACTGTTACCCTTCCTTCTGAAACTATTCCAAATAATCCAAAAAGAGGGAATCCTTCCCAAATCATTTTATGAGACCAACATCATCCTGATACCAAAACCCGGCAGAAGTTTTCAACAAGAAAAGATAACTTCAGGTCAATATCCATGATGAACATAGATGCAAAAATCTTCAATAAAATACTGGCAAGCCGATTGCAACAGCACATCAAAAAGCTTATCCACCATGATCAAGTAGGATTCATCCCGGGGATGCAAGGCTGGTTCAACATATGCAAGTCTATAAACGTAATTCACCACATAAACAGAACCAAAAACAAAAGCCACATGATTATCTCAATTGATGCAGAGAAGGCCTTTGAGAAAATTCAACAGCCCTTTATGCTAAAAACCCTCAATAAACTCGGTATCGATGGAACGTATCTCAAAATAATAAAAGCTATTTACGACAAACCAACAGCCAATATCATACTGAATAGGCAAAAACTGGAAGCATTCCCTTTGAAATCTAGCACTAGACAAGGATGCCCTCTCTCAGCACTCCTATTCAATATAGTACTGGAAGTTCTAGCCAGAGCAATCAGGCAAGAAAAAGAAATAAAGGGTATTCAAATAGGAAAGGAGGAAGCCAAATTGTCTCTATTTGCAGATGACATGATAGTATATCTAGAAGACCCCATTGTCTCAGCCCCAAAACTCCTGAAACTGATAAGCAACTTCAGCAAAGTCTCAGGATATAAAATCAATGTGCAAAAATCACAAGCATTCCTATACACCAATAACAGACTTAAAGAGAGCCAAATCAAAAACTAATTGCCATTCACAATTGCTACAAAGAGAGTAAAATACCTAGGAATACAACTAACAAGGAATGTAAGGTACCTCTTCAAGGAGAACTACAAACCACTGCTAAACGAAATAAGAGAGGACACAAACAGATGGAGAAACATTCCATGTTCATGGTTAGGAAGAATCAATATCATGAAAATGGCCACACTGCCTAAAGTAATTTACAGATTCAATGCTATCCCCATCAAGCTACCATTGACTTTCTTCACGGAACTGGAAAAAACCACCTTGAACTTCATATAAAACCAAAAGAGAGCCCGTATAGCCAAGTCAATTCTAAGCAAAAGCAACACAGCAGGAGGCATCACACTACTGGACTTCAAACTATACTACAAGGCTATAGTAATCAAAATAGCATGGTACTGGTATCAAAACAGAGATATAGACCAATGGAACAGAACAGAGGCATCAGAGGCAACACAACATATCTACAACCATACAATCTTTGATAAACCTGACAAAAACAAGCAATGGGGAAAGGATTCCCTGTTTAATAAATGGTGTTGGGAAAACTGGCTAGCCATGTGCAGAAAGCAGAAACTGGACCCCTTCCTGATGCCTTACACTAAAATGAACTCCAGATGGATTAAAGACTTAAACATAAGACCTGGCACCATAAAAACTCTAGAAGAAAATCTAGGCAAAACCATTCAGGACATAGGAGTAGGCAAGGACTTCATGACCAAAACACCAGAAGCATTGGCAACGAAAGCCAAAATAGACAAATGGGACCTAATCAAACTCCACAGCTTCTGCACAGCAAAAGAAACAGTCCTAGAGTGAATCGGCAACCAAGAGAATGGGAAAAAACTTTCGCAGTTTACTCATCTGACAAAGGGCTGATATCCAGAATTTACAAAGAACTCAAACAGATTTACAAGAAAAAAACAAACAAGCCCATTAAAAAAATGGGCAAAGTATATGAACAGACACTTTACAAAAGAAGACATACATGAGGTCAACAAACATATGAAAAAATGCTCATCATCACTGGTTATCAGAGAAATGCAAATCAAAACTACATTGAGATACCATCTCACGCCAGTTAGAATGGCGATCATTAAAAAATCTGGAGACAACAGATGCTGGAGAGGATGTGGAGAAATAGGAACACTTTTACACTGCTGGTGGGAGTGTAAATTAGTTCAACCATTGTGGAAGACAGTGTGGTGATTCCTCAAGGACCTAGAAATAGAAATTCCATTTGATCCAGCAATCCTGTTACTGGGTATATATCCAAAGGATTATAAATCGTTCTACTATAAGGACACATGCACACTAATGTTCATTGCAGCACTGTTTACAATAGCAAAGACCTGGAATCAACCCAAATGCCCATTAATGATAGACTGGACAGGGAAAATGTGGCACATATACACCATGGAATATTATGCAGCAATCAAAAACGATGAGTTCGTGTCCTTTGTAGGGACATGGATGAATCTGGAGAACATCATTCTCAGCAAACTGACACAGAACAGAAAATGAAATACCACATATTCTCACTCATAGGCGGGTGATGAACAATGAGAACACATGGACACAGGGAGGGGAGCACTACACACTGGGGTCTATTGGGGGGAATAGAGGAGGGACAGCAGGCAGGGGGAGCTGGGAGGGATAGCATGGGGAGAAATGCCTGATGTGGGTGAAGGGGAGGAAGACAGCAAATCACACTGCCACGTGTATACCTATGCAACTATCTTGCATGTTCTTGACATGTACCCCAAAACCTAAAATGCAATAAAAGAAAAAAAGAAAGAGCTGAGTGAGACGAGAAATGGAGATGTAGGCGAGCACCAGATCACGCATGTCTGGTTTACAGAGTTCAGTTTATTCTAAGATCAGAAAGCAATTTGCCTCAGGTCACACAGGGCCAAGTTGAAATCTGGTCTATGTAAAGTAACACCTGTATTCTTTTCTTTTTCTTTCTTTCTTTTTTTTTTTTTTTGAGACAGAGTTTCGCTCTTGTTACACAGGCTGGAGTGCAATGGCGCGATCTCGGCTCACCGCAACCTCCGCCTCCTGGGTTCAGACAATTCTCCTGCCTCAGCCTCCCGAGTAGCTGGGGATTACAGGCATGCGCCACCATGCCCAGCTAATTTTTTGTATTTTTAGTAGAGACGAGGTTTCACCATGTTGACCAGGATGGTCTCGATCTGCTGACCTCGTGATCCACCCACCTCGGCCTCCCAAAGTGCTGGGATTACAGGCTTGAGCCACCGCGCCTGGCCACACCTGTATTCTTAATCATATGGAGGGGTGGTGGAAAGCTTTCTTTTTTGGATTTAGCCAGGTATTCAAGAAAAAGTAGGAAAGTTTAAAGTGCATTTTTCAAAATGCTTCTTTCTTCTGCATGTTATTAGTCTTTCATCTCATTCTGGACCTGTGTAGATCTGGGGTGGCAGATCAACACAGGTGGCAACACAGATCAAAAGTGGCAGGGTCTTAAACAACCTTAAAGGATAACAGGAACACCTAAAAAAATATAGACACTGTATTTATATTTCTGTGGCTTGTGGTTTCCTGACATTCATAGTATCTTGCACAATACCAGACATATGGCAAGTACTCAATAAATATATGCTGATTAATTGTTTTATTAATCCCTAATATTATGGTAGGCTATGTGTTCTCCCATCCAAGTACTAACCAGGCCCGACCCTGCTTAGCTTCCGAGATCAGACAAGATCGGGCGCGTTCAGGGTGGTATGGCCGTAGACAAACTATGTGTTCTCATGAATATAATTTAGAAATGGAAATGTGATTTCTTTTCTGGATGAAGTTGCCAAAATTCTAGGTTTACCTTTATTTTGTGGTAATGTTTTTTATTGTTTCTATTGCTAAATCATAGCAGATAGATAGACAGATAGAGAGATAGACAGATTCCTTCCTTCCTTCCTTCCTTCCTTCCTTCCTTCCTTCCTTCCTTCCTTCCTTCTTTCCTTCCTTCCTTCACTATTTCATTCATCCTAATTTGGTTCAGGAAAAATACAAGATTATATTAAAGCAAGAAATGAGAACACTCTGCTGGTGTTACTCAGTATTCTCAGGAAGTAAATATTTCATAAGCTAACTAGAAAGCATATGTCACAAAGATCGCTGAACAATGGTATATAACTAGGAAAGATGTGAGAAGCTTAACAAATCCAGAGACTCATAGTGATGTCAGGTTCTCTACCACCACCAGCCAGAGGATGCAGTAGCTAGAAGCTGGAGGACTTTAAATTTCTAGGTGCCAGAAGAACCTTTGGGAACCAGCTTTGGGTCCTAAATATTCCAGACAACAGACGGAAGGTAAGATAAGGAGTAATTAAAGACCATCTCACTAAGTTATATTTGAGATAGGAAAGGGGATCCACCTAGGCATTCTTTAACACTTTGGTCAATTAAATTAAACAGCAGGGAAAAGTAGAGATGGTTACATTTAGGACATTCAGGAGCTGGTCACTCGTTTGCTTATTCTTTCATTTTCTTATTCACTCAACCAACATTTATTGTCTACAAAATGCTGGATATGGCTCTAGGTACTAGATACACTGAGATAAAGAAGAGACCCTTTGCTTAGAAACAAAATCCACTGGTTTCACAAGACTAGAGTTTAGACTAAAACAAGTATAGCTTAAACGCCAATTACATTAATTCTGGCTTCATATTTCCTTATAACATAAGGACGGTCACATAAAATGGCTATGCAATCACTAACCTCTGTTGGCATCTGCTTGTAAGACTGGTATAGGAGTTAAATAGGAATCTGTGCGGCGAGAAGATGGCAGAACTGTGAGGTTGGATATGGTAGACCCTTTGATTAACTTCTGAACCTTTACCTAAACAAAAAAAAATTTGTTTCAGCAAACACTTTTGCCTTGACAGTGAACATAGTTTTCTTCTTGTAAACAATAAAGTTATGAATAGTTTCATTAAGTTTTAATAAGGTAGCAATATCAGCTCCAATTTTATTGCTCATGAATACCTTGTGTATTGTCTACTACTGTCTGGAGTTTGTGTAATTTAAAATAGTTAATTAAGTCCAATTAACATGTTGTGATTTCCACTATATAAAGTCAATATAGTAGTTAATAAAAGAACTATTAAGATTTTGTTCAATTTTAATGACTAAATATAAAAATGCAAAATCTTGACAGAGGAGGTTTTGAATACAGCAAAGTTTTGTACAAAAAAAATTTCCTAGGAATTAAATGTTAGAGCGTTAAGGCTAAAAAAAAAATGGAAGAATTCAAAGATAAACATATCAATCAACACTAACAGGTTAAAGATGAACTCTGAGTAGATTCTTTTGCAGATCTCAGAGATGATTACAAAGATACAATATCTAGATCAGTTATAGAAGATACTTTTCCTAAAGTCTTAAACTACTTTTATTAGTTATCAAATATATGAATTTTTTTCTATTAAATGGTTTCTAGATTTTTAAGATTACATACATTGCATATAAATCACATTTGATTGTACAGTCCAAGTACACTATTTTTACCTATATTATACGAGTTTATAAATCACCTGGGCTGTCTCAGCAGGGAAGATGCAACTGTTTGGCATTTATAGACTGAATTTTCAGGTCATTTTCCAAATATTAATTAATTTGCATAACTTCCAAGGAAACTAGGTAACAGTTTGCTATTTAACCAATAAAGAACTCAAGACATAAAGATTAGATTTGTTTCAGGCCATACAGTATACTAGATATGCACAGATTATTCAATTCTGAAATTAATCTGATTTTACATTAGTAAAATTTGCCATTGGACTTGGTTGCACAATACCTTATTGCCATCAAGGTCATAATGACTTTAAGGAAAAAGAAAGGGAAAGCTTCATCAAGACTAGGGGGAGAAATCACTTTACAAAATAAGTATCTATTAGTTGAGAAATGTCTGTGTGGGCAAAGAGTTAGGGCCCCCACTGCCAGGATGTGGTAACTCCATGAAGATCAAATACTTTGATGATGTTCAGTAAATAAAGTATTTTGAATAGGAAAGAGTAGACTGTTAGTGCAATCTGTTTTTTTCCAGGTGAATCAGAAGGAGAAAGGGAGGTGCTACCAGCCTCACCTTAATAACAAGTGTGGGACTCTTAAGAAGATTTATTGTGAGACTCTGGTCTCGCTGATCCACCTTGGTTTCTGGCCCTCATCCTCAGCTCTCCTCTCCCCACCTCATCTCCAGACATGAGCAGCTTCCAGGGTCTCCTCCTAATCAGGGAGGCTGAGATATCCAATGCACTATGCTCTAGAAGGTATGTACATAGCTGAGGATATTCAATATCAAAAGTGGCAGGGTCTCCACTTGTCTGATTGATATAAGGATATAAGGGTCAGTAAGACAAAGGTAAATTGGAAGAAGAGAGAAAGATTCAACTTAAATAAAACTGTCAAGCACTGTGATTATGTAAAATATAGGTTTGGCAGTTTCAGGACACAGAGCATAATTTATCTGGATTTTCTGAAAGCCTTTGACAAAGAACACCTGACAACCTGCTCTTGAAAGCTAAAGTAGCAGGATCCAATATAAAACACAGCATAAAGGATGACACAAAGGAGAGGATGGTAGGCAGGTGATATTCAGACTCTGTCAGGCAATCAGCACATTCATTTAATTCTTTCAATTGCATCCATCTCAACAATGCAAAAACAAGAACCAAGAACTATGCCGAAAAGGCAGTGACGTGACGTGTGTGTGTGTGTGTGTGTGTGTGTGTGCGCGCTGGGGGATGGAAGGTAGTGTTTTCATTTACAGAAATAAATCCCTCAGATAGTGTCTTGGATAGGAAACATCTGCCCACTCTGCTGTCCTATTCCATGGTAAGGATAACCACTTCTGCAAATGCTTGGTTGGAGGGTGAAGGAACGAAACGACCTTCAGCATTTACTGAGCACTTACTATATAACACTAACTTTAACACAATGAGCATTAAATTTCATGAGCAATGGAAAAGCTAAGGGCTGGAGGAGTATAGAAGAGGGAGTAATTAACTGCCTGCTGGTATTGCAGAAGGCTTTGCAGTGACTCTCAGCCTGGCTATATATTAGAATTACTCAGGGAGCTTTTTAAAAATACTGCTGCACGGGCCCCAACCTGGGCAATTAACTCAGAATAGCTGGACTGGGGCCTGGGCTTCAGTATTTCTAGAAAGCTCCCAAGGTGATTCTGATGCGCAGCCAAAGTTAAGATGTACTGCAATAAGTGATATTTAAATTGCGCATTGAAGAAAGCACTAAATTATATCAGGTGGAGAAGAGGATACAGTTATAGGCAGAAAAAGTGGTAGCAATAGAGCAAAACAGCATATTTTACGCATGAAGATTTCACTGATGAGGAGGAGCTCTATGTGACTGGAGTATAGGGCATGGATATGAGAAGGAGCATAGGACAGGGGAATGAAACTGGAAAGGTAGATTGAGACCAATGCAAATTAAAGAAACCAGCTTTGCCAGGTGCGGTGGCTCATGCCTGTAATCCCAGCACTTTGGGAGGCTGAGGCGGGTAGATCATGAGGTCAGGACTTCAAGACCAGCCTGGCCAACATGGTGAAACCCCATCTCTACTAAAAATACAAAAATTAGCTGGGTATGGTGGCAGGCACCTGTAATCCCAGCTACTCGGGAGGCTGAGGCAGAGAATTGCTTGAACTTGAGAGGTGGAGTTTGCAGTGAGCCAAGATCGTGCCACAGCACTCCAGCCTGAGTGACAGAGTGAGACTCCATCTGAAAAGGAAAAAAAAAAAAAAAAGAAACCAGCTTTGTGAAAGTGCTGATTGCCTGAAAGAATTAAAATATCATCTGCTGTGGCTTCTTTTGTCGTGCTTTTCATTATATTTTATTCTGCAACCATACTTTGTAGTTTGTATATGATATAAATCATATTATAAATAAAACAATGTCCTCTTCTATCTAGTTCTTCATTATTATTCCCTAAACTGGAATACAGAACATTATCACTTGATGCTGTATCTTCTAAAATAGCTTAAAATTTTTTTTTAAAGAAAGGCTCTCGCTCTGTCACCCAGGCTGGAGTTCAGTGGCATGATCACAGCTCATTGCAGCCTTGACCTCCTGAGCTCAGGTGATTTTCCCACCTCAGCCTCCCAGGTAGCTGGGACCACAGGTGTGCACCAACACACCTGGTTAATTTTTAGTATTTTTTTGTAAAGACAGGGTTTTGCTCTATTGCCCAGGCTGGCCTTGAACTAGCAAGCTCAAGCCATCCTCCTGCCTTGGCCTCCCAAAGTGTTAGGATTACAGGTGTGAACCACTGTACCTGGCCAAAAATTGTTCTGAAAATGTAAAAAAATACAGAAAAACGTAAATAAGAAAACAGCTATCATATTCCCATCAGCCAGAATTAACCATTGTTAATACTCTGGCATTTATGCTCCCAGTGTTTTCAAATAGAAAAACCATTCTGTTTTATTATTTTGGTAAAAATATGTATGCCCATTATAAAGATTCCAAGCAGTGTAGAAATACAAAAGACAAAAGCTTAAGAAATCATGCCAAATATCATCAGGTGATCCATTCATCCCTGACTCTTTAGAATGATAAATCCTTGTATAAAAAATAGGACTTATTAATTTTTTTATTGCATTTTAGATTTTGGGGTACATGTGAAGAACATGCAAGATAGTTGCATAGGCACACACGTGGCAGTATGATTTGCTGCCTTCCTCCCCTTCACCCACATCTGGCATTTCTCCCCACACTCTCTCTCCCCAACTCCCCACCCCCCACTGTCCCTCTCCTATTTCCCCCAACAGACCCCAGTGTGTAGTGGTCCCCTCCCTGTGTCCATGTGTTCTCATTGTTCAACACCCACCTATGAGTAAGAACATGTGGTATTTCATTTTCTGTTCTTGTGTCAGTTTGCTGAGAATGATGTTCTCCAGATTCATCCATGTCCCTACAAAGGACACGAACTCATTGTTTTTGATGGCTGCATAGTATTCCATGGTGTATATGTGCCACATTTTCCCTGTCCAGTCTATCATCGATGGGCATTTGGGTTGGTTCCAGGTCTTTGCTATTGTAAACAGTGCTGCAATGAACATTCTTTACCACAAGATTTCTCTGAATTAAATGATTCCTCTGCAAGGGCTGGCAAATTTTTCCTTAAAAGGCCAAATAATAAATATTTTCTGTTTAGATCTGTTGTCTTACTATCTGTTATTCAGATAGTAAGAAAGCAGCACGCAGACAATGTCTAAATAAATGGGTGAAGCTGTATGCTGTGGTCTGAATGTTAGCCTCCCCCCTAAATTCGTATGTTGAAACAATCACAAATGTGATACTTTTAAGAGATGAGGCCTTTGGAGGGTGGTTAAATCATGAGGATGGAACCATCATGAATGGAATTAATGCTCTTATAAAAAGAGACCCCAGAGAGCTGTCATGTCCCCTCCATCATGTGAGAACACAGAGAGAAGGTGCCATATATGAACAAGGAAATAGGTCTTCACCATACACCAAATCTGCCACCAGCTTGATTTTGGACTTCTCAACTTCTAAAACCATGAGAAATAAATTTCTGTTGTTTATAAACCAACCAGTTTATCGCAGCCCAAATGGACAAAAATTTTATTTACAAAAACAGGTGGTCAGCCCTCAGGCAGTAGTTTGCGTACCCCTGCTCTAGAGTTAAATTAAGTTGATTATGAAAAGCGTTTAGATCTATTTACCACATGATTTTATTTTGGATACGATATCTTAGCTTCAAATGGTGAGAACATTAGAACTCTCTTGATGCCCTGATCTCCTCTCCCTCACTTCCCCAATCTTTATTGTATCATTATTTTTATACAATCCAGATTTATA